TGTCTTTTTGGAAAGTTGTATACAGAAAAGCTTGTGCTCCTATTGGTCAACCTCATACATGTGACGGAACCGTCGTGGACGACCGTTAAAAAAATTAAGCATGCTAGTTTTTTGTTGTGATGTCGTGAAGCATTGCAGACGCGACGTAGGTTGTCGCCCACTATGACACACTATACGAGATGATACGATCGAATCTTGCGTCCCGAAGCCCGTTTTCGTTTACGAATCCCCACGACACCCTACGTCAAACGAGAACTCAGTATTAGTGAGAATGGGTGAACACAGCTGAATTAAACTACTAATCAAAGCCCCTTTCACACAGCGCATTTCACACATTCGCTGAAAAAATATCTAGCTGTCGCACGACTCAACCTCAGTGATGTCATGAGCTAGAGCCAATCAGAGCAAGGCATGGGTTGAGGTCACCGGGTAAATCTTATTTGTCCTTTTTTTGCATTTTTTGTCAAGGCAAATTATCGAACAAACAGTTTGCAGCACTAGTTTCTGTCTGACGTCCATATTTGCGTGTTGTGTTCTTCGTCATCTTCGCTAGGTATTGTGCTGTTTCATGTCATTTACAGTTTGTTTTATCACGTGATTTTTCGTAAACAAAACGTGGTTTGTTGACAACATAGGATCGTTGGGTGACAGAGTTGTTGTTGTCAACTCGTGTAGTGTGTTACCTCCTGTTGCGGATGAATCACGTTGTGTCGTGTGGTGTGAACAGCTCAACAACTTCAACACTCCTGATTTCACAGAGAGCAAGTCATGTGAACCGCACAGATGTTTTAAAATCATGTAGTGTGACCTAGGCTTTAGGTAGAATACGGGGACCTGGGACAGAATAGGGAATAGCCTTGAACAGAGGGAGATGGTGACTGATCCAGGACACAGCTGAGACTGCACCCCACCGCAGGAGGGAGGAGCCATAGAGACGCCACCACAGGGACGACCCGAGGCGACAATGACCTGGAGGGAAAAGCCCACTACATAATTGGAGAGCAAATTGATGCGAGGGGACACCGATGGCCTTAGCGACCACTGCGGAGCCACAGCGACGACCCCCGCAAGGTGGAAGCAAGGATCCGGAGGGCAGAAGTGGAGCTGGAGCTTCCGAGGGTGGAGGTGGAGCCTGAGGGAGGGCAAAGATGGCCACAACAGAACGTGTGGAGAACAACAGCACGTTCGCAGTGGAGGCATGGTTATGTCTGACCCAGGCGAAGCCGACGTACTGAGGGAGCACAGCAAGGCAGAATGCTCTGGTCACTGCTGACATCGAGGGAGGAAGAAGCGTAGGCGTATGAGCCAGGGCGACGGGATGAGGGGGAGTGGAGTGTTTCACAGTCTGACTGGGTGTAAAATTGCTCTTGTTCACGTTCACTCCCTCGATTCGGCTACAATGAGCCAATCGTATGTCAGATCCTCAGACCTGACAGACTAATGGGCGATGGCAGCAATCTTCCATTAAACTATGGCACGTTTCATGTTTTCACCATGAATGAAACTGCGAAATGTCTTCTTTTTTTTTTTACATAAAACGTTGCTACTTTTAATAAACCTGTAGCCTATATAAATATCATTCATAATTTTGGCAATGGGTTAACATGTCATAAAGTTTTTTAGAACTTTATAAATAACTTTATTTCATAAAGTTTAAGGTAAAAATAACTGCCATTAAATATAGTACCTTACTACTTAGTACACTATCTTTTAAGCCCATGTAGACTATTTTCATCTCCTGAGCTGATTAAATGTTAAAATGAAGCAGAACACAAAGCAAAGGACAACAACAACATTTACAATATTTTCTACATTTTATGAGCCTTTGTGGACTACCAGTTTAAATGTAGGCCTAGGTAATCCAGCTTGATTAAATAATAGGCTAAATTTAAATTACATTTGCTCAGAGTAGGTCATCACATTAGTCAATGAATGTGGCATTTAAATGGCAATGTTTCCCAAATGAAACAAAAGAGCTGTTTGATTTGAAAAATGTGTGCGTAATGTAGAGAACTGTGAGTTTTGCCAAAAGTTTGTTTTACAAATTTTGTGTGAAGCATATAATGTGCTTTTAGTTTGATTTGGTACACAAGAGAATGTTTCACTGAGTGAGTCTTTAGTGTCTAAGCAATTTAAAAAAAACCTGTAAATATTTCTCTTCATTTACACTGCCACCTAGCGTTGTTGCTATATAATTGCTTGCATAACAATAACCACTGGAAAGTGGCGAGCTCAGGTGGTCAATCAGGGTCACTAAATTCAGGCCACATGTGTGCATCAGTCCTCCCAAATACGTAAGCATACGGAAGTTTAGCCCCTACACAGCCACACATCACCTCACGAGCAAGAAGCAAGAATGGAGCAAACCGGGATACTCAAACAAGAATTAACATTTAGGCCTATGTGAAGAAAAGAGCATTGGATGACAAAAGAACATTTCGGTTGCCTACGTGATATTAGCATCGTCATGGAAGTGGTGGAATCCATTGCATTTGTGTAAGCCTATAGGACGCAATTAATAGATTGGATTTGTCAGTTTTCCCACCCAGAGACAGCTTTATGTGTGATGGAATGTGCACAGCATTTTCAAGAGGAATTGTTTAAAACGATGCTTCCTTGTCAGATGCTGAAACAGATGCATTTACTAAGGGTTTAGGCTACCATGAGTACTAATATGAGGGTGAGATGTTGTGAGACAACTTTTCAGTTAAAAACACAATTCACCGCAATAAGCAATTTTTTTAAAGGTTGCAGTTCCTTGTGAAATCCTTGGCAATTTTTCTTTTCTGAAATGTGCACTAGTATGCTAGTTTACTTAAAAGTATAGGCTGTAGCCTATATATATATATATATGTATATATATAATTATTCAATGTGTATGTGTCACATTGATTTTTATTTATTTATTATATAATATGCCGGTAACACTTTACAATATGAGTGCACTAATAAGCATTAATTCATGCTTAACTAATGCAAAAATAATACTGAATTAATGTGTAACTAATGATTATCTATGCTATTCATTAATGATTACCACATTAGGAACTAATTAAGAGTCTGTAGGGTTAATGTATTTGTTCATACATTAATTGTTATTAATTAAATATGTAATTGTGGATTAATCCCAGTATAACTCATTTTTTCAATTAATAATTAATATGTTAATTACCAGAATGAGTCAAAGCCTTGCATTTCAACTTCCAGATAATATGACAGGTACACTAATATGCATTAATCTATGATTAATTACGTTATGCAAATTCATGTGCAAATTACACCAATTACGAAATGACTAGTTAATAATGATGTGCCTCAACAAGTATAAGTCATAACATAATGATAACATAACATAAACATAATAGCAAATCATTAGCTAATGATTAATTACAGCAGACAACTGGAAGTTGAAGTGCATAGCTTTGACTAATTGTGGTAATTAACACATTCATTTACACTATTAGTTAATAAAATATGTTATTAAGGAATTAATACACAATGACACATTGAATTAATAGCAATTCATTAAATCAGCACAACATTACAAAATGGTTTTGATTCAGTTCAGAGGTGGCTATTGTCTAATCATTATGAAACAGAATTCTTCTTTAGAAAGCTCACTAAATATTATATCTTTGGATCAAACTCCTATAAAACATACTAGCCAGGTAGGTTAAGTATCTTGGCCTTTGGCTTGACTCTGATCTTTCTTTCAGCACTCAGGTGCATAATATAACTAATAAGCTCAACTGCCCACTTAGAACTTTATACCAATCAATTAACTGTCATGTCAGAAAAAGAATTGTTTCTCAACTTCTAGCTAATTTTGGATTATGCTGACATTGTGTATCAAAACACTACTGCTTCCTGTCTTCAGTCTCTTAATACAGTTTACAATAGCCTGTGTAGATTAATACTCCGCTGCCCCCACAGAACACACTATTGTGAACTGCAATTGTCCTGGCTGACCTTATCAAATAGAAGGCATTTTCATTGGTTACAGTTTTTTTTTTTTTAATGCATTTATATGAATTACCCTGCTTATTAATTACCCATTTAGGTCATCTCATAACTTGCGTCATAATAACCAAATTTATTTTTACACTTCTCAAATCAGTAAAGAAATAGGAAGATTTCAATATAAAGCACCGTATGATTGGAATAAACTTCCAATTTCAATTCACTTTTTAGTATTACTGAGCATGTTTTTTTTTTCTTGTGTATTTGTTTGTTATTGTTATGCTTATTTGACAGCTGCTGTAAGGTACATTTTTTTGCATCTAGAATCGAGGACCCCCTCGAAAATCTAAAGGGGCTATTCCTCTTTAATAAAAATAAATGTATTACTTATAATCTATTAATCATATAGACTCTTTATAAGTTGCTGATGCACTAATCATTAATTAGTTCTTCATGAGTTATACATTAACTCATGATTATCAGTGCTTTAGTTAAGCATGAATTAGGCCTAATGCATATTAGTGCACCCGTATTGTAAACACTTTAAAGTGTTACCATGCCTATTAATGAAATAAAATACAACTTCACTATCAATCAACTATCAAGGTATAATTCACCCTTAAAGTGAAGAATGTTGGTAACCAAACAGCTGATTAGCCACACTGACTTCCATAGTATGGGGACAAAAATACTATATAGTAGTCAATGGTGCCCATCACCACTGAAATATTAGGCTACATGTAATTTTATTGTAAAAAACATGCAAGTAATTGTTTTATTCTGTTCCCACTAAAGTATTATTTGTGATATAAGTACTGCTTTTAAAAAGTATGCTAAGTACTGCACATTCACGAGAGAATAAACAATAAATGGACGATTTTAAAGATAATTTAGCATAAAGTCGCCGTGTTGTGTGAAAAAAACTCCACCTCTAGGTGTCGCCAAAACTTCGGCTAGTTCACTCTTCTCGTCACTGTTGTGACTGGAGGGAGTCCCCCAGTCCCGCTCACGTGCTGCATCGCTGTAGACATCAGACAGGCTGTAGATGTCCCGTTCCGTCCCGTCCCGTCTGCAGCAGTCTGCCTCAGCACCTTGCCTGCCCGACATGCCCTTGGATATTACCGGCCCTTCTCTTGCTATAAACTACTGTAGAACTATAGAAACCACTAAACACTAACAGGACATCGGAGTAGGACGGAGTGTACCTGGAATCTTGACACTTTTACACTGCGACAGATCTAAAGGATTTTTAGTCGTATACTTTTTTGTTGTTGTACCGACTTTTCCCAAATCGACGTGTATGGATGTATCATGGCTACGTTTGCATGCAGGGTGCAGTTCTTAGATGATACTGATCCATTTAATAGCACAAATTTTCCGGAGCCGACCAGACCCCCACATTTCACATTCAGAGAGGATATTCCGCTCATCAATCAGATCGCTGGAGTCCACAGACTTCTGAAAGCACCACACAAGGTATGACACCCCTAAAGCTAACATCATTTTATTCATTCTATATACATGTTACTAATTACTTTTTATTAGAGGTATTTATACCTATTTTTGATGCAGTGCACAAATGTTATTGCAGTAACTCTGCAGGGCATCATGCAGTTTTATGGCAAGCCCCAATAACATTTATTCCCCAAAACTTATAACTAGCAACATCTATATTTAAACTACTAGTTTTTTTTTTTAATTAATTGAAAATATTTGAGTAGTGACTATTTTGTTAATTTTTCACAGGGAAATTATTTATTCAGAATTTTACTTGCAACTATATAGTATCTATTTATTAGACAATACCAATTAGTATTCTAGTAAGCTGATATATTACAATTATTAACTGGCTATATTCTAAGTATTTGTAAACAACAATTGTAACTAGTTAGATAAGATGTTACAGTAGCAATTTAAATAGATTCAAGTGTCAAATAAACAGATACTAAGTTATTACTGTTAATAAGTACGACAAGTACTTGGACTGCACACTAGTAACATTAATACAATAGAGTTACTAGTCAAACTGGTATTTGAAGTCTGATTTGAATAGTTGATACCACAGAAATTAAAAATAAATGGAATTTTTTTTTTTATCAAAACTAAAGGACAGTTACTTGTCACCAAACTGCAATAGTGACTAAAAGTACATGTTCTAATGACTAATTTAATCACTGTTGGGTTTCCAGTAAGCATTGTAATCAAAACCTGCATTTGTTACTTTAAAGAGCTCTTTTTTGTTGCTAGAAATTGATGTATTTTTGTTTATAAAAATTAAAAAATTTGACTAGTTAATTTAGCTTATGTTTTCATTTTTTGTTCAATGTAATTAAACATATGTAGTAGTAGCCTAATATAAACGATATACTATGTTAGAGTAAAATATTTAATGTTAAAATGACTTGCCATATCATTTGTGCTGTGCCAAGGCACTGTTAGGGAGAAGTGATATGATGTCAGGATACTTCAGTGCGTCTTGGTCCGCACTGCACCAAGGTGTTGTCCTGTGCACCCAGGGGGTTGTTTTGTTGTTATCAGTGCTTCTAAAGCACATCTTTTCAGGCTGGAATAGTTAGTTATGCTGTTCTATTTAGATAGAGTCAATAGCAAATCTATTATAGCTGGCTGCATTGTTTATTTGCAATCACGAGTAATCACTTTGCCGATGTCATAGTAGGAACGACAGGTAGCTGGTGTTGATATTGTGGATATTCACATTCTGTCTCTTCTCACAGCCTGTAATAAACCTCACCTCTAAATTACCCAGCTCTCCTTCATTACACGCATGACCCAAAACAATCAAGGTTCTTCTCCAACTGTATAAGATATAATTGTTGTCTTAAACTTGGTTCACTTCCACCACATAAACAGTGTTATCCCTTAAGCAGGTTTTAGGAGTGCTGTTATTGTGGTCTTAGAGGAATGCACAGCAGCTGAGGGCCATACTTGGGTGGACTGAATGCTTGAGCATGCCATGTCTGTCCATATACTCAGGAATCTTCAGCTGTCATTGGCACTGTCAGTGAATGACCCTTCAGATAAAAAGGGTCTTCCGAGGAGCTGAACCTTCCTGTTAGACTGCAAAAAGGTGAATGTCAACCCTGTGTTGATGTGACTCACCCACTACCTTTCATCAATGGAACTTTGAGCATCTCAGCTGCTTCATTATGAGTGGACCATTTCTGTGATTTTGAAGTACTAACCTTTCCAAAACAAACATGCATGGAGGTATTTCTGACTCGCACTCAATCCCCACCATTAAGACGGTTCCTTAAGCTACTCGGTTAAATGGTGAAACGTTTTCAACAGATGGATAAACAAGTCCAGATGCTCATTAGTTCTTTGACTTTTGTTTTACAATTAGAATTTTGTTCTGCTTCGTACTTTCTGATGACCCTAATTACCTAACGTCTTAAACATATTTCTTAAACATAAACATATTTCTGTCTTAAACATATTATTTGATTATTCTAAGCATCGTCTCAAAATTGTTTAAAGCCCTTTGAACAGTTGGCAGTTTGCACTGAAACTGTCTTTTGGACCTTAAACCGTTTGGTTCCCATTGAAGTCCATTATATGGAGAAAAATCCTGGAATGTTTTCATCAAAAACCTTAATTTCTTTTCGACTGAAGAAAGAAAGACACGGATTTCTTGGATGACACGGGGGTGAGTAAATTATCAGCAAAAGTTTTTTTTAAAGTGAACTACTCCTTTAAGTATTGGATTTTGCCCTCATGTGACCATGACCTTCTTGTCTTGACCACATATGTGTGCAATTCAGACACTGACCATATTGTATTTTACAATATCCATTATTAGGTCTCACTCTCCAAATAAATAAATAAAGTTTGTCAGTTTGAACATGATGTGTTCATGTCGATAAAGATTTAGCAATTATATTTTCATAATTTGTGTCAGAAGCACAGATCTAAACATGTATAATCAAAATTGGAGTTCATACCTGTATTTTGAAACAAAACATGCCCAATCGTGTAAGATCCAGTTCACTTCTGAAAGCACCAGATCTGAGGGATTGTTTTTCCAGTAAACGGCATCCATTGGAACTTTGAATGTAAAAGTGAGCACCATTTTTTTTTTCATTGCCTAGTGCTGTGTAGCCTACTATGTTGGTTTCAGGTGTTTGCCATATATTTAATATATGTAGGCTACACTCTTAGAAGAAAAGGTTCTATATAGAACTTTAAACGGTTCTATCAGCGCTACGTATTTGGAACCCCTAAAAGGTTCTATACACTCTTAAAAAAGGGTTCCTCTGGGTTCTATATAGAAACCTGGGGTTCCAAACTTGGCCAATAGAACCTTTTACCAAAAAAAAAAAAAATAATGGTTCTATAGGGCATTTCAGAATGTTTGTAAACAATAGGCACCGCGATACTTCCGGGTGGCAGAACGCGAGCGGCTTCCATTGACTAACTGAAGAGATCCAGCGAAAATATGTTGTGTTTGGGGTTGCGCCACCAGATATACAGCAAAAGGTGTAGGTTAAGGTTTTTTTTTATCGATTTCCTTCAGAAAAAAGTAAATCTATCCAGCAGAACCTGTGGGTGAGGAGGTTAAAGCGAGTGGACGTCGTCAAAAGTGCATGTCATCTACTAATTATGAGCCTGAGCCCGATTTAAACCCAACCATTTTAATACGTGGGTCGTTATATAACTGACGTTCTCAACTAACTTAGTTATTTCTATTGCTTTCTATGTTACTTTCTTTTGAGCGGTGAGTAAATGCTTCTTCATCGTAAATGCTTCTGATTGGCCAATGCGTTCAATAAATCAACACAAATGTCTGTGATTGGCTACATCGCCCATCGCTGCAGTCACGTTCTAAAAAGAAACTCTGCCATGTAAGTCATTTCTATTTTGTTTTAGTTGTTCTTGTTGCTTTTCTGCAACAGATGAATACAAATGTATTCGTTTTTATTTGTTTTATTCATAGATATTTCTAGTTTGCGGGAGTCCCGCGAATCGTTTTATTCTCCTGCAATCCGCACACACAGAGTGCATTACCGCCTAGTCTAGTGCGTTGGGAGTGCACGTCTCTAGATCAAAGAATCTAAGCTTTAATGATCATGTTAACTATGTCTGAATTTCCACCACGTCTGTTCTTGAATCAACTGTTGAAATGTAGATTAGGCTTCTGCCGGCGGTGTGTCTCCCTCCATGCAATTTACTAGTGTTGCCATAGGGACGCTTCGGCTTTTGCCACCCGGAAGAACGTCTATTATTGTTGTGACGTCAAGGTGAATTGTCGTATATAGAACCATTTTGGAGTTCCATATATGAAGCGGGGGATGGAACCATTTCTGGTTCTAAATAGAACCATTTCTTCTAAGAGTGTATGACAAAGGCTGTTGAGGATGCCAGTAGTCCACAATGCACTAATTTAACAAGAATCTAACACAGAAACAGTATTGTAATTAAAATGCTTTCTAAAACTCTTTCTAAAATGCTTAAGTTTTTCCAAAATAAGATCAGTGTAGTTATGATTCATACATGTATTTTTGGGTGTTTCCTTTTTATTATTTTTTCTAAGTGGCTTCTATCCAGGAAGGCATGAATCCTCAGGGGATTCTTCTGGTGCATCAGAAGGTCCCAGGCCAACACAGTTTTCAACATCCCTCCACTTAGGTTTGCTGCGATAGTCTGTGTTACCAGTGTTACACTGTGTTCAGACACACAACGATTACATCACTTGCTCACCGCAACATTTCATTTATCACATGACAAAAAGTGAGGCCAGCTGACTGACAAGATGATACCAGAAGTTTGGGTTTCAAAGCGAAATGTAAAAGTGCATATATTTTGGATTTAAACCAAATGCTAATGGGGAACCTGCACATACTGTACCTACCCTCCACACAATTTTCAGTTTATAAGTGTTGTCAGCTTAGCAACATGAGATATGATTTTGAAGACAAAGTTTAAAGACAAAATTTGTCTTATTGAAGACAAAGTTTGTTTCCCCAGATTTACTACAATTAAGCAGTCAGTATAAGGAACAACAGAGATCAAATAAAGCATCAGTGAAGTAGAGAGAGAGAGAGAGAGAGAGAGAAAGAGAGAGAGACAGCGGTGTGGGGACGGAAAGGAGATGTGATGTGCTGGCCTGCTATTTAACATCAGCCTGCAAATGAGCCTGTTGGATTCGTTCTGTTGAACACAGTCCATCTTTGTCTTGATTTGTTTTGTTTTTTTCATTAACAGCAAAGAGTAACAGAGTGACATGTTTTATTACTTGTCCAGGGTGTCATACAAGGCTGTCGTAACTTATGTTGGTAATCAAAATGTGCATTAGTATAAAAAAAAAATATATATATTTTTTTCAAGATTTGTTATCAGAACATTTTTTTCTTTTGTTAAATCAACTTAAATAATTTATTTAGTTGAGATAACTTATTATTTTGAGTTTCTGATGATTAAATCAATCTGATTAAATCTGATGATTAAATCAAATTGCA